ACAATAATAAGATTGAGGCCTGTCTTTTTCTTTTTAACAACAATAATACGGCACGTTAGCAACTTGAGGAAAAATGTTCATTGCATATTTATTCAACTAAATATATATTTCATATTATACATTATAATATAATAATGGTAAAAATATTACATATTTTTACAAATCTGAAAGACTTCGTACTCATCTACTTCATACCAATTTGCTTTACTTGTATGTTTACTATATGCAACACTCATACCCCAAAACCAACGTTTAGAATTTTTATTATTCATTCCAAATTCATTGCTACCAAACCATAAATTATCTGTGTTACCATGATAAATTGCTTTTGCTGCATCTTTCACACGAAAAATACTTGATTGATTAATGTTTTCATTTTTTAAAGAAAAAATAAAACTATCAGCTGTTCTATCATAACCACCACCAACTTTCCAAATAAGAGGATTGTAACCACCAAGTATCTCATCTGTACCAGTGACCTTTAAAACAATCACAGTACGAGGTATATTATCACATAGTCTATGAAATTTATCACATGTAAACCCATCCCTACTACCTCTAAGTAAAAGTTTAAATTCATATGGAATTTCAGTAGTATCATAAATTGTTGAACGTCGATCAATCCATGATGAAATCTTTGCTGCATGCTGCAACGTGATTATGGAAGAAGATAGTGTGATAATAGGTCTATTAATATGATACTGACAAGTAGAACTACCTAAATTTGAATTTTTAGTTGCACCATTCCTTCGAATCTTGATATATTCTGAGGCCCAATTGTCGTTTTCATTTGAAATATTGATAGTATTAGAACTACCTAAATTAGAATTTTTAGCTGCTCCAGTACTTCGAATATTGAAATATTTTGAGGCAGAATCGTCATTTTCATTTGAAATATTGATAGTATTAGAACTACCTAAATTGGAATTTTTATTTGCACCACTATTTCGAATGTCAATAGATTCTGAAACAGAATCGTCGTTTTCATTTGAAGGTGCGCTAAAATTCGAATTTTTATTTGCACCACTATTTTGAATGTCAATAGATTCGTAGATAGAATCGTCGTTTTCATTTGAAGGTGCGCTAAAATTAGAATTTTTATTTGCATCAATATTTTGAATATCAAAATATTCTGAGTCAGAATCGTCGCTTTCATTTGAATTATTGGTAGTGCTAGAATCATCAGAAAACTCTTTAGTAGGAGAAGGTGCACTAAAATCTAAAAGATTGTTGATACGTGAAGTGTCCTGCTCTGCATCATCGATCTGAATGAGTGGTGTAGAAACATATTGCTGTCCATGTACTTTTTGAGGAGGAGGATCTTTTTTTGGAGGAGGGAGTTGTACAGATTCATTTTTGCGAGGAGGGAGTTGTACAGATTCTTTTTTGCGAGGAGGTAAAATTAGAGAGGTGATGGGTGCATCTGAATCCATAATCTTTGCCGTTATGTCATCCCATAAATTATCTTCAAGAATATTACGATAAGGTTTAATTTTACTTAAGACATCTTTACTAGGGATATGAAAGTATCGAATATGAGGAAGACAAAGTTGAAGGGTAGCTTTTAAAGATTTCAAATTTTCATTAGTCCAGTCTTTAATATCAGGTGGTAAATTTGGAATTTTTGCTTTTCCCCATAAAATGACTTTATCCCAAATCTCCGATTCTTCCATCTGTAAATTATCATTTTTTAAAAGAGCAATTAAAGCATTTTCTTGGAGAGTGGTAAACTCATCGGTGTCAAAAATCATGCTTGGATGTTTTGAAAATATATTATTGTAAAATTGTTGTAAAGATCCAAAATTTTCATTAAGAAAACTCATTTGATAAACACGAAAAGAATTTAAGCGAAGCCAAGATGCATTATTATCAATAAGGTAGGACTGGAGGCATTCCACTAATTTGATGAGCTGAAGTTTATTAGCGACGACTAATAAATCAAATATTGCCAAAGCTTCAAGATTTTCTAAAGAAACTACGCCTCCATAAATATATCTATCGATGAAAAAGTATTAATGCTTTACACAAATATATATTTGATAATTATAGTATTCTTGTATAACTTACTTTATAATAATATTAAATAATTCAACAGAAATATGAGGTAGTTTAATTTCAAAAACATTATTTTCCTTAATCGCATTTACAAATTTTTGACGAAAGTATAATGATCGTTGGTATAAGATTGCCGAATGTGCTTTAAAAAGTTGAATATTTGGTGGTTCTCCAACTTCAATTACTACATTATAATCGTATTCACTTTCTAAAAGTTGTGTAAAGTCTTGA